GGAATTCTGAGCCTGGGCGTCTGGCAGGGGCCTCATTCAGGTGCCTTCTGCTTTGGCTTTACCTGACTTGGGGTCTAGAACAGTCTCCTTAAAAAAGGCAAATATGAGCTGAAGGGATTTTAAAAATAGAAATTAAAATTCTGTGACTGGTAAAACTCTAGAACTATGGGAAAAATGAAAAGGGCCAATGAAACTCACCCCAGCAGTCCCTTGTCCCTTGGATTACAGTGTGTCCCATCCTTTACTGCCTTCTCTCTTACAATTCTCCCAACAACTCCAGACTCTGGGCATTCTCATTAACCTTAGTTTACAGGCAAGCCAGTTGAGCCAGGGAGGTCAGCCAGCTTGCCCAGGTTCACAGACCACCTCTTGTGGGAGAGACCAGATTCTTAACCACTGTGTATGCTACCTCCCTAACACAAGGATTTCCAGAATAAAGATGTGTGTGTCATGGCATGGAGGAAGGGTGAGGTTTCTGTTGTCAGCATGTTGAGGAAGTCCCAGAGACATACACAGCTTGGGTAGAGGACCAGGGCTTGCTTTTCTGACAGATACAGAAAAAAGTCAGTGCAGTTGGGATTCATGGCAGAGAAATCAGCTACGCTGTCGGGGAGGGGCCAGATGTAGGCCCCATGGCCCGAAGCCTCACCAATACCCACTTGATGTGTCATGCCTGGCCTTCTGGAAGCAAGGCACCCTCATGCTAGGCCCATGGTTAGATGCTTGAGCCCACCCCCACTCGAGGTGTGCTGGGGAGATTCTCCTCTGGGTCACACTCCTGGTCAGTCCTGGGCCTCATGAAACCCAGGGTCATGACAGGGGTCAGCTCAGTCCTCGTGCATCAACCTCCCCCGGCGACAGCCTTCCTGTCCAGTTGCCTTCCTGAATCCCATGCTCAGAACCAGAGCAAGGCCAGGTTCCCACACCTCTCCAGAAGCCAGGCCGCCATGACCTGAGGCCAGCTGTGGGGCTTTTCTACCTGGCAAGAAGGGACCAGTCTTTTAATCCAACTAATGTTTGTCATGCCACTGCACTGTGCTGGGTGCTGGCCATGCTATTAAGAGTAGCTGCTATGGTGATTGAGAGCTTCAGACAGCCTGGGCTCAGATCCTAGCTCTGCCACTTCATAGCTCCATCATTTAGAGTTAGGCACTTAATCTCTCTGTGCCTCAGCTTCCTCATCTGCACATTGGGGCTCATAGGGGCCTGCCAGCCTTGTATTGTGAGGTTTGATGGATTAATTCAGGTAGCATCCACACACAGTGCCTAGCCCACTGTGAGAGCTGGGCATCAGGGTCAGTGACAGTTATGTGCTGACCTCTGTACAGCCATACCATCAGGTCATCCCACCACTGACGTGAGGAAGAGAACACTCATCTCATTTACTGGGCAGAAAACCAAGAGCTATACCAAGTCATTAACCCCAGAGTCACAGAAATGGGAGGTTGTGGAGCTGAGGTTGCCCCAACCCTGTCTGACCCTGGAGCTGAAGTTTACACCGACCCGCCTGTGATGGCTGTCCATCCTGGCTGTCAGCAAAGGAGGTGGCTGGGCTGTTTGGAGAAGCTCTGATGAGAGAGGCGGTCAGTGCTGTGGAAGCAGAGTGGTGAGGCTGTCAGGTGCTGAGGGTTCTTTTTCTGCCCTCTGAGTCCATCAGTGTGCCTGTAACATTTCTCCACTTCCACTTGTGCTTCAAGGGTTATTCTTATTTCTTTCACTGGCTAATTCGCCTCTGAGGGCATTTAAAAAGGAGTGGGGGAAGGAGCGCTGGGCTATTGCCGAGAGCATGTTGGTCTGCCTCCACTGAGTGCTGATGGCGCCACCTTGCACGCAGAGGCCAGCGTCCAAGGCCCCAGGTCCCTCACTGTTCAGTCACAAATGTCTTTGAATTAGGGGCCATGTGTCATCAAAGGCTTAAGGCCTAGGCTCTGAAGCCAGCTGCCCGGTAAATCCCAGCTCCTCACTTGCTGAGGGGTGAGAGTTTGGGAAATGTCTTAGCTCCTGATATTCTCAGGTGTGAAATGCCATGGTAGCATTGTCACCTGAGACCGTGGTGAGGACTGGCTTGAACAGCACGAATGGAGAGCTCAGGCTGGCATCCATGCGTTGGAGGAATGATGGCAGCTCTATTACGAGCAGTGGGCTGCTCTATGAGCACCATCTGCGGAGGGGGTTGGCAGGGGTTGAGTAGAGTACAGAGGGGAAGAGCCAGGTCAGTGTTCTGTCCGCATGCTGGGTATGCTGGCCACCAGGGTGCCTCCCTCTGTGGCTGCTAGATTGAAATCCTAATTGAGGGCCCAATTCTCATCACCTGAGCCTTGAAATAGTTTTCACCCATGCTGTTGGGCCCACAAGTCCATTTGTCCCCATGTCTTCTCTCTGGTTGCTTTAGGTTCCCATCCTGGGCAGGAGAAATAGAGGGAGGGACAGGGCAAGTGACTAGAGCAAAGGGAAGAGCCGTGGAAAGCAGGGGAACCTGGGAGGACCTGGCTGGCTGGAAGGGAGCCAAGACTTGAGGAAGCCTACGCCTGACTCGATGTCCTGTTTCTTCATCTCATGAACTGTGGGGTTTCTGTCAGTGTGAGGAGTGGAGGGGAGTCATCACCAGACGGGCCCGAGGGTTCCTGAGGCTGCCTGCCCCGAGGGGTCAGTGGGTCAGCCTCGGCCGGGCCCTACTCTGAGGTGAGTCTCCAGTAAGTTCAGGGCCCTCAGATGCTTTGCTGTTTGTTCTCTGTCCCCATGAGAATCCCCTGCCTGGATAAGAGAGCTGGCCCTGACCTGCTCAGTGTGGGTGTTCACACCCACAGGAAGTGAGGATGGCCTTCTGTGGCCACAGCTGCTGCACAAGACACTGGGTTTCAGAGACCAGCTTTTTGCTACCCTCCTTGCATGGGTTCCTGAGGGTTATGCACCTTTAGCATCTTCCAGTCTCCCACTCTGATCCTGCTGCCTCCCTCTCTTTTTTTTAAATTTTTTTATATTAAGTTATCATTGATATACACTCTTATGAAGGTTTCACAAGAAAATCAAGGTAGTATTACATTCACCCTTATTATCAAGTCCCCCCCCATGCCCCATTGCAGTCACTGTCCATCACTGTAGTAAGATGCCACAGAGTCCCTACTTGTCTTCTCTGAGCTATACTGTCTTCCATGTGACCCCACACACACCACGTGCACCAATCATAATACCCCTGAATCCCCTTCTCCCCCCCCATACCCCTCCCCTTTGGTAACTGCTAGGCCCTTGGAGTCTGTGAGTCTGCTGCTATTTTGTTCCTTCAGTTTTGCTTTGCTGTTATACTCCACAAATGAGAGAAATCATTTGGTGCTTGTCTTTCTCTGCCTGACTTATTTCACTAAGCATAATACCCTGCAGCTCCATCCATGTTGTTAAAAATGGTAGGATTTGATCTTTCTTATGGCTGAATAGTATTCCATTGTGTATATGTATCATGTCTTCTTTATCCATTCATCTACTGATGGACACTTAGGTTGCTTCCATATCTTGGCTATTGTAAATAGTGCTGCAATAAACATAGGGGTGCATATGTCCTTCTGAATCTGAGAACTTGTTTTCTTTGGGTAAATTGCTAGGAGTGGAATTCCCGGGTCAAATGGTATTTCTATTTTTAGTGTTTTGAGGAACCTCCATATTGCTTTCCACAATGGTTGAACTAGCTTACATTCCCACCAGCAGTGTAGGACAGTTCCCCTTTCTCCACATCCTCACCAGCATTTCTTGTTCCTACTCTTTTCTGTGTTGGCCATCCTAACTGGTGTGAGGTGATATCTCATTGTGGTTTTAATTTGCGTTTCCCTGATGATTAGCAATGTGGAGCATCTTTTCATGTGCCTGTGGGCTGCTGCCTCCCTCTTGTAAGGACTTGGTGATACTACATTGGGCCCGCCTGGACAATCCAGGCTAATCTAAAACCTTCATGACCACCACAGAAAGCCAAAGCTTAATCACACCTGCAAGTCTCCTTTGCCCCAGAAGGGTAATGTAGTCACAGGTTCCAGGGGTTGGGGCATGGATGTTACCCTGCCTCCATGCTGCCATATATCACAGGACATCATAGTGCAGAGTCATTTCCTCCATCCTGGAGACCTGTGATCCTCCTGAGTACCTTCACCTCTGTCACTCACAAGCTGTTGGGAGCTTGGGCAAGTTACCCCCTCAGTGCCTGTTTTTTCATCTATAAAATGCCCCTTAGAGTTACCAGGATCAAATGAGTTAGCACATGTAAAGTGTCAGAACGCTGTTGTTTTTCCTTGTACCTTTCTCTTGTCAGAGCCACAGGCAAAGTTTATTATTTTCCCACCTTGTGCTTTTGGTGGTGGAGCTTATGGGCGCTGTGTGATTGTCTGGAGGCAGGTCCTGGCCTGCAAAGTTCCTCATCACTGTGCCTTTTATGAAAGCTAGTGCTCAAAAGAGTGCTGTGTGGACCTCTTATTACTGGCAGCTTTTGCCTCTTTTTATTTTCTTGGAGTAAATTCCCATTCTTGGAATCACTGGGTTAAGGCCTCCTGCAGTGCCCTAGAAGGGTTACACATCTTGTTTTCACTGCTTCCCCACCTTGGCAATGGTCATCCGCCTCAGAGGAAAAAGGTTTTCATTCTTTCAGCAATACTGCTTGCATGCCTCCTGTGTGCTGAGCACTGGTCTGGGTGCTGGGGAGACACTCGGGAAAAACAGGCACGTTTCCTGTTGTCATGGAGCTTGTCTTGAGCAGGGCAAGGCTGCTCATGACTTCCTGGGTCCAACACTGCACCTCATTCCTTTCATTTGCATTTCATTGTTCACTGATTAAAAACAGTAGTTTTATGGAGTAAATTTTCAGTGTAAGTGGAGTAAATTTTGTGTCCTGAGATGTGCAGTTAAATGTCCCAAACTCGATGCTGCATCTGATCTTTCTTGGGGTCTCTGTCCTGCTGAAGTCACCACCCCCCACACTCTGTCATTTTACTCCTTGCTGGAAAACATGTTTGTGTTCCTAGGGACTGATGTCATGGTGCGCTGCCTCAAGCTGCTGAAGGAATTTAAACGGAAGGTCGAAGAGGACCACGACCAGGACGATGACGAGGATGAGGAGGTCATCTCCAGGGCAGTGCCTCCGGTGGATGTTGTGTATGAGCGGGATATGCTCACTCAGACCTACGAACTCAGTAGGTCCTGTTCTCATGCCTGCTTGCTCATGTCCAAGCAGGGCTGTGCTGTTGAGAATGTAACCAGCAGAAAGCACTGTGTTTCCCTTGACGGGTTTAGGCTTTGGGTCAGATTTGAGTTTGAATCCTTGCTCTGCCACTTGTGACTGGATCACGTTAGCAATGCCTCAGAGCCTTGGGTCCAGTATCTGTAAAATGGGGATGTCATCCACCCTAGCCTGTGAGGACTAAGTGAGGACTAGGATTAAAACATCTGGTGTAGTGCCTGGTACACAGAAAGCACTCAGGAAAATGAGCTATTAAATTATACTCAAGGATTTGAGAGCTACTTACCATCTTGTAAACATTGTCTGGAGCCACTGCAGATTGAGACGTCTGCTGTAGAGGGAGGAACAACTGTCTCCCCATTCCTTGTCCTTCCTCAGATCCCCGAAATCCACATAGGATAGCAGTGACCCAGTGCCATTGGTGGTGTGGCTGCAGGTCTCTGTGGGGAGGGGGACAGAGCAGGAGGTGAGGCGGCCTCAGACCTGATTCAGCCGGCAGGTACAGAGCCATGCTGGCAACTCGGAGGGCTGTTTGGCAGTTTTCACCAGCTCTTTACATCTCTCAGAATGAGTTCCTCAGAGCTCAGCTTGGGGAGAGCTGTCTGTGACCCTTTCATCCCCACTTTTAGCATGTGTTCACTGTGGGGAACTATCCTGTTATTTATGCATGTGCAGTATAGCAAATCCTCCTTTATCCAGATTGGTTTTATGTGGCAGCCTCAAGTGTGGGACACATCAGGAAACAAAGGGAAACTATTTCTGAACAGCCCAAGAGCTTGGCCACAAAATCTGCCCTGCAGCTCGTGTCCTTTACTGGGTATCTCCCTGCCACTACAACCCCCCCTCTACCAGGCTCCGTCCTGCTGTGCCCTGTCCCAGAGTAATCCAGTAAACTTAAAAGGGCTTCCTAGAAGCAGATACAGTGATGGCACTGAGCAGTGACAGTGTGTGGCAGGGCAGGAGCTGACAAACTTGGCAGAGCCAGTAACAGAGCACAGTCGTCTGCTGGTTATTTAATACAGGGCCGAATAGTGTTATTTCTTCCCACAGGCCCTGTTGGCTGATGGCCGTGATGGGACAGTGCAGTAACCAGTGTTCCTAATAATGCCTTTGAGTCTACCGAGAAACACAGGGATATAAAGAAAGGTTTTCATTAAAAATTATTTTGAGGCTTTTTAAGAGGGTTGATTTCATTCATGTGAAAGAGCTAAATTCCTGCTGGAGAGTAAAAAATGACATCACTGGACTTAGACAAGCAGTTGGTAGCCTGACATTTATGCTTCTAATGGAGGAGCCAGATAGTGAGCACTTGAACGTTAACTATTAGGAGTGTCCAGAGAGTCTGTGGAGGGGCAGGAGGGTAAGGCACATATTTTATCCTGTCTGTTGGTTCCACTGCCCTGAAATGTGTCCTTACAAAAGGTGGGAATTGACTTGACCTGTGCAGAATGGCTCCTTTGCAGAGGATGCGGTTCAAGTATGTTGTTTCACACAGTTGAACGCAGAGGCACAAAAGGGATTTCCCAAGCTGAAATCCGAGGGGCTATGAACGTGGGGAAACTGGAAGCAAGAATGCTGTGTCGTCTTCTTCAAAGATTCAAAGTTGTCAAGGTAACATCAAGAGTCATCCCGCACAATTCATTCTCTTGGGATGAGGACCCAGTGGGATTGTGGAGGCATGTCTCAGATGGGCAGGAAACGAGGCTGGCCTGCTGTCTTCCTCAAGGAGGCAAATGACTGCCCGGGGGCTGAACGTAGCCCACCTGTGTGCCATGTCTCTCCTCACTGTGGATTTTATTGGTTTTCATTTTTTAAAAAAAGGAATGAGTTGTCAGCATTGAAAAGTCAGCAGGAGATGGGGTGGGGGGTACGCTCCTGTGTGTGGGTCAGCTGGTGCTGGCCAGCATCTCACCACCCTTCAGACAAAGTGGGTGCCCTCCTGGGCCCCCCAGTCTGGCTTCCCCTCTTTTATGTCCTTTGCCACACTCCCGGGGACGGTGCTTTGGCCAACTACACATCTGGGGCTCACCTTTCAGAATTCAAACCTGCTATTTTGACCCTTTATGCCTCATTCTGTTCTTGCCAACTTTTTAGCTGTTTTGCCAGAAGGCAGTATCACAGTTGAGCTAATGCTGCAAAGCACGGAGCAGCCTTGGCATGTGGGTGGCATATAGATGTTATTCTTTCTGCTATAAGAGCCCTAGGAGAGCCCTTCCCTGTTCTAGAAGATAGAATGAGTGTGGATTGGTGATGACCTTGCTGTCAGTCTGTACAACTGGGGCTGCATGGAGCTGGTGACCTCCAGGCCCTGACTCATTGGTCTGCAGCAACAGTGCTGAACCATGGAATCTGTGCGGCAGACATTGCTGACTGACTGAGGGTGTTGGGGATATGTGGAAGGCCAACTTAGAGCCTGTCCTTGGGGAGCTCCCATCTCATAGAGCAGACACACATTCAGGGTTACAGTTTAGAAGACTGTCTCCCGCAGGCCTGTTCAAGTATATTGGGAGACAGGACCCGTGAGGGAGCATCGTGGGGCCGACCTGGGGCCCAGGCAGTGAGATGGAGGAAGTGTAGGCAAATGCAGGCCTGATGAGGACATAGACACCACAGACCTGCGGCCACAGGAGAGCCTGTGTGGTACGGCACCCTCTCCTGAGTGTGATTAAATACATGTTACTCCCTCCAGGGATTCATGGAAGACGAAGGGCGGCAGAGGACCACCAAGTACATCTCCTGTGTGTTTGCAGAAGAAAGTGACCTAAGCCGGCAGTATGAGCGGGAGAAAGCCCGGAGCGAGCTCCTGACCACAGTGAGCCTAGCCTCTGTGCAGGAGGAGTCCCTCCTGCCGGAAGGAGAGGACACGTGCCCCTCTGAGTCAGACAGTGAGGAGGAGGGCAGCAGCCACAAGAGGAGAGGCAAGGGGTCGCAGGGGGACGTGAAATCCTCCTCAAATGGCAGTCTCGGGACTCAGCCTCAACACTCCACCCCAACGAAGGGTACGGGGTACTCGGAGTTTGGGGGGAGTGGGCTCTCAACCCAAGCTGCCGCCAATCTGACCTTACCCTGGGCATCTTCAGAAAACAACCCGTTCAGTGTAGCAGACACCCGAGGACACCATTGGTGCTGGCCTAATGTGGACTATTGTATCACATGTATCACGTGATCAGAAGCCTGGAGGAGAGGGTCATGTGGTCTGTATCTTGGCTGCTAGGAAGTCAGTGCCCCTTGGCTAATGTTTTGTTTTGTTGTATTTTTACTGCTAAATGGATTCAATTCCATAAACTTCCCCTATCGTCTTCCCTTCAACAATCTACAAATCTCTTGAGATTTTAGTTTGGTTATAGAATACTTTTTTCGAAACGTGAAGGGTGGTACCAATGACAGATTTGCAAATCTGGTACCTTGCTAGGAGGGGGGCAACACACTGCTTGCTTGGTCCACTACCCCAGTTCTTAAACTGACTGGACGGGATCCTTGGCGTGCATGCATCTGGTCTGGCCACCAAGCATGAGTGCCCTGCGCTTTCCTCCTGCTGCACCCCATGCAGGTGGATGGAAGGTCATGAACCTGCACCCGCTGAAGAAGCAGCTGTCTCCCTTGCCGGGGGCCACTGAAGAGAGAGCCTGCCAGACCTCCGTCGGCGGGGACAGCCTCCTGGATTCCAACAGCTCCTCGGACCCCAGCATGTCCTTTGGCTCTCACTGTGCAGAGAGTAACAGTGGTGACATAGCCATGATCGAAGAGGTCAGGCTTGAAAATCCAAAGGTGAGAGTCCCTCAGTAAGGAGCCTGTGGCAGGTAGACCTCGGCCTTATCAGTTCTGCGCTTAGGAATCACAGCAACACGGTCAGGAACAGTAATAGTACAAGAGCCGCACACCCAGGGCTTACTCTTTGCTGAACGAGGGCCAGTGCTCTCTGGGTGTGGTACTCACGTACACACCTTCCTGCCCACTCAGAAATCACCCACACAGGTATTTACACAGCATTGTAACTCCCAGCAATTCACTCTTCTTACTTACACTTATTTGGAGAGAGAGTTGTATGGCTAGTTTAGATTGGTGGTTCTTACCCTGGGCTGGTTTGTGCCCCATGCCCCTCGGGGGACCCCGGGCAGCACCTGAGACAGGCTTGTTGGGTGGCTTTGGGCTCTCTTGCTGCCGTTTTGTTTGGGCTGCACAGCAACCCCGGAAGATAAATGTCAGCTGTGGTCTTGGCTGTGGAAGGACGCCTCTAGGACCCGAGAGCCTTGCTTGCTCAGTTAATGACAAAGTGAGGATTAGAACCTGTGAGCATGGTGCTCCCACCCCGCTTGCTTCTCCCTTTCTGGTGTGGAGGCCTGTGCTCTGCTACTGTCCCCACAGCAGAAGTGATGGGGTGCAGGATGGGGAAGGTTTTCTGTGGATTTTTCTAGAACCTTTTAATCCTATTCTTTGGGTGCTATCACTCGCTATCAAGTCATGATTGGTATTGTGTTTTCCACTGAAGAACATGGGCTTACCAGCAGGTGGCTCCAGCAGGTTCCCGTGGGTTTTACCTGCCATCCGCAACACCACCCCTCTGCACCTCTAATCAGGTCCATGTGTCTCCAGGAGCACACCCCTCCAGGTCCTAGAATTCCTTTGCTTGCTGCCTAGCTCAGTTCTTTCTCTTCCTCTTAGAAATCCATTCCCACAGTAATGGCAGAGCCTTATTTTTCTCTTGGCACACTTGCTGTGAAGAGGGGCATGAAGTCTACATTTAGAGGGCCCTCAGCAAAGCATGTTTTCACTCTGCTCTATGGCAGTCCCACGGCAAGTGGCCATTGTGATTTTCCTCCAAAATATTTGCTCTGAAATGTAAGAGAGGACAGAGATCATTTTGCCACTCTTAGGCCCCTTTTTGAATCTTTGCATTTTTGCCCCCTTGAGCCCTTTCATCTCCTTGAGAGAACTGCTTTCCCAGAGTTCGAACGGTAGCCAGCAGGGAAGTGATCTGTTCTGGCAGCACCAAATCTTCTCCTGAGCACATCCTCACCCTCCTGAAAGCACCCCTCCAAGTAGGAGACCATCCAGCGGCAGGGCTGGGCTGCTGGGTGGAGCTGACTTGTGCGGAGTGATTTACAAGGCCTCTGTTAGAGGTGGGATTTCCTTTCCTTTTCATGGTGCACATTTGGGCTTTGACATTGGATCTCAGGGCAGGTGAAACAAGTTCATTTTAGCTCCTGGAATACACGGGAGCCATGAAAAGAGAAGTGGGCATGTTGGTGGGGGTGAGAGAGAGCACTCATCTTTCTGATCCCTTCATTGTTGCCTCACCACTCACCCAGGTTTACCGTGGGACAACCTGTCTGAACTCAGAAGCCTCTGCTTCTGTCTTACATTCCCAGAGAGACCTCCCGTGGCTTCCTCAGCCTGGAGTCGGAAGCCCGGCCCGGCCCGCATCCACGCTCTGGGATCCTAGAGAGTTACTTGGCTTCACTGAGCCCTGGTTTCCTCTTCTGTAAAAGAACGATATTACTAAGGTGGTTGAGAGTTATTGATGAAAATGCCCATAGAGTGACTGGTGTGGATTTGACCCTCAGAGTTTTGGCTTCTTCCCCTCCTTTCTACTGCAGGAGAATGAAGAGAAAATTGAGTGAATGCTTTGCTTCAAAAGGTGCTGTAGCAGATGCTTCTAATTTCTGTTCTGAACCCAGCTGATGCCATGGTCCTCTGCTGGCAGATGTCTTTGCTGTTTCATAGCATTGCAATAGTGGGGTGGTGGAATCCTGTGGGGGAAACAGTCCCCTTGACTTCTCTTCTTGAAACATGAGCACAGAGATTCAATAAAGAGGGACAGTGTACCCGCAGGAGTGGTGTCTGTCCCCTAAACCTTGCTAAGCCTGTTGTATTCGTGTGCTTTTGGTCTGTTCCAGGAGAGTGGCAGTTCCCAGAAGCCTGGGAAGCATGGCCCAGGCCAAGACAAACCCCATGAGACTTACCGGCTGCTGAAACGCAGGAATCTGATCATAGAAGCCGTCACCAACCTCCGCTTAATCGAGAGCTTATTCACGTAAGGGGTAGTCTGTCTGTCTTACAGTAACAATAACTCTCATGTCAGTTAGTTATCATAAGGCCCGGAAATGACCAAGAGTCATTTGAATCTCTCTTCCTCTGTATAGATTCTCACAGTATCCCTTTGTGGTGGAAAGGATTTAGAGTTTGTTCTTATGATTTGCCAAGTGTAGCTGTTGAGGAATACCAGTACACTAGACAAGGAGAGAAGGACTGAGCAAGAGGTAGAAGCCCAAGAGGAGGGAAATCCATTGCCTTTCTCCTTCTTTGGAAATTTGGTGTTAAGGAAGGGCTGAGAAGAAACTTAGGCAGTTAAGAGCATCAGCTTATAAACTGTTTTTAGTTCTCCATGGAGCCTTCTCTTCAAACAGAATCTTACATGAAAGTGAAAACAAAAGAGATACAAGTAGAACTTCTGTGTCTGGGGTGGCTCTGTTCATATAGAGGCTCTCCTCTGGTCTGGTCCTTCTAACCCGTGGTCGCCACCACTGCTGGGTGGCAGCTTCAGGCTTCTGAGATGCCCAGTGTGCACGCTCCCCAGTTAGAAGGAGTGATGGGTGTGAATTCTCTAACCAGGGATGAGATTTGGCCATCTGCAGATACTGCCTGGGTCCCCTCTTCTGTGCAGTGAGGGCTTGTCTGGGTATCCCATTGTCCCTTCTGGCCCTGCCACTGTATGATCAGTGATCTAGAACCATCACCATAGTGACTCAGGAAGATCTAGAAAGTAAGATGTATGAGGAGAGGAATCAAAGAAAGCTTCAGATCTGAGAGTGTCAACAGTGCTAAACTTAGCCAGGTGCCAAACTGAGCCTAACGACTTAGTGAAGACAGAGTTCCGTCATGGCACTTGGTTTTCTGCCATCATAATCTCTAGTTCCTGGTAAAAAGCTTGGAATGTGAAGCCACTGTGTGTGGGGGCCCATCCTCAGCTAACTCATCTACCACAGAAAGATGATCCTTAATTTCTCAAGAAGTCAGCCTTTCAATGATGAAACCCCTCTGCTTCTTCCCTAGTTTCTGCGGAATACCATATATGCAGGTCTCAGTTACCAGGGTGGAGAAAGGCCTTGCGTGTTGAGACTGGGAATAATAACTTCTTATTTTGTGATACCCAGGATTCAGAAAATGATCATGGATCAGGAGAAGCAAGAAGGCGTGTCCACCAAGTGCTGTAAGAAGTCCATTGTCCGCTTGGTGCGCAACCTGTCTGAGGAAGGTCTCCTGAGACTCTATCGGACTACAGTTATTCAAGATGGCATCAAGAAGAAGGTAACCGTGGCTCTCTTGGTGCCCGCAAAGCCAGCCTCACACTGTTGGAAGTTTTCTTGCTGGGCTTCTCTTGTCCTTGTCAAATCTCATTTGTCCTTTTGCCGATAACTCAGAATTTCCCATTTTGCCACCTAATTTGGGAAATGGATCATCCCCACTTTCTGTGGAGGATGGAAATGGAGAAGAGAAATAACTTGCTTGGGTCTCCAAGCTGCATGAGTAGCCCAATGCAGGTGTCTAGCCCCCTGGCCAGCTTTGAAAGAGGAAGGAATGTGAGGCATTTTAAAGTTCAGCAGAGTAGCATTGGGGAGAAATTAAGTGACGTTTAGAAGGTGGAAAATTTAGACTAAGCAGCAAGAACATTTTCCACAGAGATCTAAGGAAACGTCCCAGAGGAAATGACAGTGACTCAGTTAGGATGCTCTGCTGGGGTTATCAGATGAGGAATTGTACTATCTTCTTTCTCAATTTATCTGTTTCTGTAAAATTTAAAGTTTGGGTCCATTCCCATAGCAACTGTAGCTCAGCAGCTTTGCACATGTTCTGTGGCATAAATTTCTCAGGGTCGGAGAATCTGAGATGGCCCAGCTGGATGCGGGGACCAAAGGGAACAGTGCTGTGGGTACAGCCAGCCTTCTTTTCTGGCTCCATTTTAAATCTCTGCCTTAAGAAAGTTCTGCTTTGATATTTTGTTTTCTTAATAAGCTGGCATGGTCATTTCTGTTTATTTTTTTTTTGAGACATTTGAAATTTGGAAAATACAAGAATGTAGTGTCAGAACATAGTTTCTACTGTGGCAAGTTGGTGCTCTTCATCAGTCTTTATATCTTCTGTGAGTCCCCTTGACCTTGATCCTCTCCTGTCCCCAGCCAGCCTGACACTTGTCTCCTTAAGCAGTGGGAGGACATCCTTGTGCTGACCGCTTCCTTTGAAGGACAAAAGCCTCCACCCATCGGCAGCACCTCTGGTTTCTGTGATCTTCACAGAGCTGGTCTTTGGACAGGTAGCCTTCTTAAGGCAGTAATTGAGGGCACAGAAATCCCCCCAAGTCCAGGAACGGATGGGGAAGTCTTGAAGAGGTATGCAGTGTGTCTCCTGCTCCTGTTTGGTCTCATATCCTCCAAAGGGAGTGGGGATAGGAAGCAAGTCCCATGGGTAAACACTGAGGATCACGCAACCTCAAAAATACAGGTGCCCAGTGTTGGGGTTCCCTTGCCACAGGGCACCACTATAGCGGCACCACTCTTGGGGTCTGTTTCTCCAGCTGGAGGGGGCTGCCGTATTGTACATCTGCCTCCAGAATCAGCCTAAGTCTCTGAACAGCATTTTCTCTTGCAGTGGGAGCACATGGTGCCAACAGGCAGCCTTCTCTCCTGAAGCCATGGTGACTGGGGTTGCTGCCTCCTGGCCTTAGCCTGTGCCTCTGCTCCTGTGTCATGCCCTGGCCATGGGCCTTGGGAAGTAGGCTGTGCCCTTTGGCTGTGGCAAGTGGGAAAATGGGAATGCTTTGCATTCATACCATGCTTTTAAATTCTCTGAGCTTAACTCTATCTCATTTGAGCCTCATAAAACCACAAAAAAGTTGTCAGGGCAGCGGGGAGGGGTCCCCATTTCACAGCTGAGAAGCAGAGACACTAAGCCAATTGTGGCCTTTTGGAGTGCCCACCCAGGCATTGCTGCCTGTTCCCTGTGACCAGCCCTCTCTTGGGCCATTTTTGGCGCAAAGCCACCTGACCAGAGGTACATATTTAGAAAGCCTTATCTTGCTCTCTCCTGCCAATGGCAAAGACAAAAAAGGAGCCTGGCTCTGGGGCCCAGGCCACCATGCCTTTCACCTCTTTACTGCACAGCCATCACCCTGAAACCCTCTGCTCAGCCCCCCAGGCTCCTTCATTGTCATCCTAGGTGTTGCCCGTGAGGTGGTAACCACCCTAACCATCCAGCTTCAGTTCCCCGGAAAAGCTAACACAACAGAAGCAGCTGTAAATCCCCTACCAGTTTATTAGAAGCACACCTGGCAGGAATCCCACCATGGCACTCCTGGCGAGGGGAGATTAATGAAAGCCGCTTACCTTTTCCAGATGGAAGCCTTAGGATTTCTGAGCAACCATGGGACGTTCTCAGATAGCAGGAGTGGGGCATCAGGAGCAACCCAGCAGGTGGCTGCGGAGATCAGGGGGCCATGAGAGCCTAGCAAGGGGGCTGTAGGGCAGACCATGCTCTCTCCAGGCCAGAATTCCTCACCTGAGCAAAGCATGGTGTGACGGATGGCAGAGCTTTATCGCTCAGTCACTTGAGGGATTTTGATGCCAGAAATTATAATGGCAAACTGTCCAGCAACACATTTTACTTCAGTCTCTTAACCATCTTTTGGAAATGTGATAAAAATAGATATAACCAGTGTTCCATGAGCCCAGTTGTGGAGCTAAATCTCCCTCAGCCCGTTCCCAGCCCCTGGGGACACTCTGACCTCTCTCTGCAGGTGGATCTGGTAGTGCACCCATCCATGGACCAGAATGACCCTCTTGTGAGAAGTGCCATTGAGCAGGTTCGTTTCCGGATCTCCAATTCAAGCACAGCAAACAGGCAAGTGGCAGCGCCCACACGAATTCACAGTGGAGCTGCCTGCATCTCAGCTCCCTCCTGAAGCAGTTTGCACCAAAGTCTGTGATTTATATTTGTGTGAGGTTAATGAATCCACTGTCTTAGGGTTTGTGGTTCATGATCCCCTAGTCTAAACAAGGGTCAATTTGATTCTTGATCAAATGGTTGTTAACAACAATAAAATTCTGTATAGGGGAGTCAATGCTCAATGCGCAATCATTAATCCACCCCAAGCCTAATTTTCGTCAGTCTCCAATCTTCTGAAGCATAACGAAAAAGTTCTTACATGGTGAACAAATTCTTACATAGTGAATAAGTTCTTACATGGTATTTCTGGATTCTTTAAGAAAAAAAAATGCTAATGTTCTTAATTTTATTCATTTATCTGATAATGTAGACAGAGCATTCCAAACCACAGTACCGGTGATGTATGAAACTCGCTCAATCTCACAGTGGCTCAAAATGATTCTAGTTGCCTTTCTGAAGTCTTCTCTAATTTTGTTCAAAAAGCATCTAATGGACCAAGTAAAACTCAGGGGTAGGAGAAAATTCTCAGCTATGTTTAAGCCAGAGATGGCCCATGACGGGCAGAAGGCTGGATCTGGCTTATAGATGTTTTGTATGTGGCCTGCTGTGCATTGGCCACACGTACTTTCAATCAGCTGCCGATTGAGTTCACATCATATTCCTGATCTCTGGCATTTATGAAAGTGTCAATGGACGTAACACATTGGGCTGCCTTTCTCATAAGGTAGCAGCTGCCCTGTCGGTGGGAGTGCACTCTCTGTCACCAAAGTCCCCATCACCCCCAAATGTCTCATGACCTGACACATTTTATTCATTGACATCATCTGCCTGGCCCCTACTTGAGTTAGAAACCCTAGGGCCAAATGGCTTCATCTGATTCCTGAGGACAGACCCTGCCCTTTCTCTTAGCCCTTGATTTTCCCAGCAGAATATTGATCTTGTATTTGAACTACAGGGTGAAAGTGCCCCAGCCTCCAGGGCCTCAAGGGGAGGCCGAGGAAGAAAGTCAAGGAAAAGAGGGCCCAAGTGGATCAGGAGAGTCTGAGCCGAATGCTTCCTCTAAGCCAGAAAGTGGACGAGTGAAAAAAACTGATGAGAAAATGGGCATAACACAGTTGAAAAATTATAACCCTGTTGTAGGTAAAAAGCAGCTTTTTGTCAATGTCTGATTGTATCTCATTTGTTCTTTGCATGGTGATGTTTGAGCCACTTGGTATTCTGCATTCTGGCAGTGGGCGGCAGTCAGAAGAATCCGGCCCGAATTACTAGCCGGGTCACCCGAGGCTGGTCACATGACCTCTGTCAGCATCAGTTGCCCAGCCTGCAAAGTGGGGATGGTTCTTGCCTGGCATACTTCACGAGGCTGTTATGAGGCTGAGATGAAATTATGCTAGATCCTAACATGAGGAATTATTCACAAAGATTAATTCCTGCAGTTGACTATCCTTGGGTGGGAACATGGTATAAACCACAGAAAACCTCTACCTCTCCTGACCCCATAAACCTCCTTGTAGTTACAGTCACTGATGAGTTTGAGCATTCATTTAATTTCCCAGAGTTGGGCCACGACAGGGTTGCCTCCAGCCTCCAGCCCACCACTTAACTCTAATGCAAATGTGTGGGGCAAGTGTGGATTCCCGGGCTTTATCACTGGGGTTCCTTCACTGGCTAGAAACGGGCATATTGATGGAGGAGGTCACAGACCTCTATCAAGCAGGAAATGTCCTGGTAGGAGCCACCACACAGCAGACCCAGCGATTCCAAGCAGAAGAAGGCATTTGTATGACTTCTCTTTATGAGTGCTCCAGCCACACAGGTATGGCCTTGAAACTCTCAAGGTCTCATGTTAAAAAGTATAGACTGAGGGAGAGATACCTCACATGCCCTTGAGTAGCCACAGGGCACTGAGTGTGCCCCTCAAATGGGCCAGGTGAGATGGGGGAGAAGAGCCTTCTAGCCGCCTGTCCTTGCTGCCCTGTTTCGATGTCTCCCTGGTCTCTCACCTGCCCTTCCCCACCAGGGAAAGCCAAGAAGTACTTTATTTGTATCAAAAAAGAAATAAGCGACTTTAAAAGAACCCAGATCATGGAATATTTTGCACAGTCCCCATCAAGCCAGGAGCCCTGGTGCCAAGGTCTGTCGGCGCTCTGTGGTGGTTCCCTCCATCACGCTGTGGCTCAGTGCTCCCTCCTTCCTTGCTCTCCTAGACATTCCAGCCTCCTGGCCCCTCTTTAAATGTGCCAGCACACCCCTTGCATTTACTGTGGGCTGCACTCCCCAGGTGTGTGCATGGCCTGCTCCCTTGAGGACTTCGCTCCAGGCCTCTCCCCAGTGAGCCTTTCCCTGGCCTCTAGGTAGAATGACAGCCCTTGTGCCCATTACTTGCTTTATTTCCTGTACCAGCTACTTCCATCTGTCGTATTATTTTAGTTGTTTTGTTATTGTCTGCCTTTTACCACTAGAAAGTAAGTTCCAGCAGAGTAAGATCATTTGCTGTCTCCCTGGCACCTGGGATGTAGTGGCACTTGGTAGTTTTTGATTAATTGAACTGAATTGAATCTGTGATTTTGCAAACATCACCTCCCCCTTTCTTGCCTCAGTTCCAGGACTTGGGCGTTCTCTAGGGTTTCTGCCCAAAATGCCTCGCTTGCGGGTGGTACACATGTTTCTGTGGTACCTGATCTATGGGCACCCTGTCAGCAATGCGGTGGAGAAGCTGGGCTTCAGCAGTGACAGAAGACCAGGAAAGCAGGAGCCGGGAAGGGCTGGAGTTTCATCCTCCACTGGAAGTGACCGGGAGGCCCCCTCCGATGCCCCACCCAAGGACAACCAGGAAGGAGCCACCTGGGAGGCTGAAGTGGAACTCGCCACCGAGACAGGTATGATGCTCCTGGGCAGGTAAGCCACAGCCGAATCCTGAGGGGAATCACAGTGGGTCCTTGTCCTTATTATCCCAACTGGCTGAATCCCCACACGGCCCTGATCACAAGAAAGACATAATCCAAACTTCCTGCCCAAGCCTCTGGTGAGTGGGAACCAAGACTTACTGGGAGGTGATACCACCATTAGACTGGGACCCTGTCTATGGGAGTGACTCTTGTTTCCTCCAAGTATACGTGGATGAAGCCTCATGGACACGCTACGTTCCTCCCATCCCAGTCCACCGGGACTTTGGCTTTGGCTGGGCACTCGTCAGCGACATTCTCCTCAGCCTGCCTCTCTCCATCTTTGTCCAGATTGTACAAGTCAGCTACAAGGTACTGGTGACTCCTGGGGCTGTCATGGTGCTGATCCCTTAGCTCCAAGCCAGAGAACCTACACTCACCTGGTCCAGGGGAAATACTTTTAAGAGTTGCAGCTGCCTAGATGGATGATAGATTGGGTGGATGAATAGATAGGTAGGTAGATGGATAGATAGATGATTGAATGGGTGGGTGGGTGGATGGGTGGATGGATAGATAGACAGGAAGAAGGATGGATAGGTGGATGGGTGGTTGGTCAAGGGAAATATTTTAAAGACTTATTCTAGATAGATTATTCAGTAGACAAACAGAAAGATAATTATGGTATAACAATAAAATGTGTGTTTAGGACTTGATAAATAGAACTTGGAAAAAGGAGAAATAAAAAGTACCCAGAATTTCATCACTCAAATATTGCTGTTAGTGTTTTTGGTACATTTTCTTCTAGTCTTTTTTTCCTATGCCATGTTTATGTTTACATGTGTGTGTGTGTGTGTGTGTGTGTGTGTGTGTGTGTGTGTGTGTGTGTGTGTGTGTGTGTGTGTGAGATCTAGCTCCCTTTAAAAAAAAAAATGAATTGAGACTATATATACTATATTTACTCTTGTTATCTGTTCTTTCCATCAAACCATATAGTGTACTTTTCACATCATTAAGTTTTAACTTATTAGGTAAATTTGTAGTATTCCTTCTTATATATTATTCCTTCATATCCTAATTTATTTAATGAATACCTATTTTTGGTTGTTTAACATACAAATTTTCTTGATATTATAAGTGACATGTCAATGAAAACCATTTGAAAGACATTTGTGGGCTGCTCCAAAATTTATTCTTTGGGCTAATGATAGAAGTAGAATCACTGGGTTCAAAGGGAATGAGCATTTTTCATCTTTTTCTTAAAATATAAATATATTTCTATATTGTCCCCCAGAAATGTTTTAGCAATTTGCATGCCCCCAGCAGTAGAGGAGGGCACCTGTTTATTGCATCCAGCACTGTGGCAGATGGGCTGAAGGGAAGGGGTGGCAAAATGGATATCAGAGAAGTTGGGAGGTCAGGTGGGGAGCACTGTCACTATGGGGCCAACGGGCATGTTCAGACTGCAGCACAGAAAGTAGTGGTGACTGCTTTTCATGATTCTTGGAATTTGCCCTGACCTTGAGAGTGAGCTGAACCTGAAAATCACCTCCTAGGTGGACAACCTTGAGGACTTCCTGAACGACCCTTTGAAGAAGCACACGCTGATCCGCTTTCTCCCCAGGCCTGTTCGGCAGCAGCTTCTGTACAAGAGGTAAGTTCTCTGAAACAGATGTACAGTGACTGAGGGTCCCAGCAGGCCCCTTCAAGTTAGGGTTCTGATAATTATTCACCAGGTTTCTGCTTGTCAGGTTATAAAGACAAAGTTTTCATTAATTTAGCCACCTGTGAGCCTTCTAGGTAAAGCACAGGGCAAATGCAATGTGGGCTGGTAGATTTTATTACTTGATTTCAAGGTTCTTTCAAGGTGAAATCTGCTGATTAAGGCTGCAAGTATTGGTTTTTCTACATTGCTACTTTTCTTTCTAAATCCAACCCCCAGTGTAAGATCAATGCTCCAATACCCTCAAGGGGTATTAGAAAGGGGGTCCTGGATCTCATGCAGTGCAGGCCCAAGGCCAGGCCTCCAGGACTACCAGGTAAAACAGGAGAGAATAAGCGAGTTGCATCCTTATGCCAGATACAGACCCCTGATGACCGCTGAGTGTGATTGGAACCCCTGTTTTCCAGACGCTACATTTTTTCCGTAGTGGAGAACCTTCAGAGGCTGTGCTACATGGGGCTGCTACAGTTTGGTCCCACGGAAAAGTTTCAGGATAAAGATCAGGTAAAATTCTTTAAGCCCAAATGAAGGGTGTCCTGACTGTTAAGCGCAGTTTCCAGATAGCTAACCTGACGTTGATCTGAGGTTCTCTTCTCACCCTGTCCAATGTCTCTCTTACAGGTCTTTATTTTCTTGAAGAAGAATGCAGTCATCGTTGACACCACCATCTGTGACCCACATTACAACCTCGCCCACAGCAGCCGGCCCTTCGAAAGGCGTCTTTATGTCCTGAACTCAATGCAGGATGTGGAAAACTATTGGTTTGATCTGCAGTGTGTCTGCCTCAATACGCCTTTAGGTACTGTCTTGCCTGGACCTCATCTTCTTCCCTCCTTTCTGTGGGATAACTGGCATTTAGAGCCAGAATAGACTAGAGATCTGGAGGTTTTCAGACTGCTCCCCAGAGGCCTAGTGTCTTTGGAGCACCAATCTCCATGCCTCAGTTAACCAAGCAGCTCCACTTTGTCTTCAGTCATTTGTTCATTCAGTGGTGTTTATTGGACACTTTGTGTATGCCATTTCCTGTGCCCGGCCACGAGTGATGACACACACCCTACCCTGCCTTCATGAGATTCACATTCTCATGAAGTCACACATACACACACCCAGACAGGTGTGGTGAGGGAAAACACGATGTGCTGAGGGTATTATAATGGCGTGGTCAGGAGCAGCCATTCTGAGGAGACATGTGAGCTGGGCTCTAGCAGCTGAGGTGGAGCCAGCTGTGCCCAGGGCCACGGAAAAGCATTCCAGGCAGTGCCAACAGCAAGTGCAAAGGCCCCAAGTAGGGTGGGAGAAACAGAAGAGGAGGCCAAGACTAGAGACATAGGGAAGAGGCAGACTGGGAGCCTTACAGGACATGGTAAAGATTTGGGGTTTGTTCTAAGAGTAGCAGGAAGCCATTGGGTGGTTGTGAGCAAGGAGTAGCAAGGTGTCTTAGGGTTTCCAAAGCTTGCCCAGGCTGCGTGTGTGGAGAGTGGCCCGAAGGGCCCAAGAGGAGAAGCAGGGAGGCAGATAGGGGCTGTGACCCATGCCCAGGGGAGCTGTCTGCTGGCCATAGTGGAGAAGGGAGTGGGTGGGGAGGCATAGAAGAACTGACTAGACTGGCTGATGGGTTGGATGATCTGGGCCTCTGCTCAAATCGTTTTCTGTCCCTGGAATGTCCCCTGGCCCACATTCACCTTGCAGATGGCCACTCCTGCTTCCAGTGTCAACTCTTTTTGAGAAAGCCATTCCAGAATCTTTATTGTCATCTGATTTCATTCTGTCAATTCCTTGAGCACAGGAAATTTGGCTTCTATCCCCAAAGTGCCTGATATACCATAGATATCCCATAAACATTTATTGAATGGATGAAGGGTTTGTGGAATGCTGTAGACTAGCATACTGCCCCCTAAGTCAATTTCCATCTGGTCTTTTCTCGTCACATCTACCGGGAGAAAAAGGATGCTACATTCAGTTTGCACCTGGGAGAGGAATCCTGTTCTCTTCCTACTGTCAGAGAGCTGGAAGATCATGTTACACTTGGATTTTTGCAAAGCAAGAGTCGTACGTTTATTCAGTAGAATTGTTTAATGCCAGCAGAATAATGAGCACTTGTATTTAGAACCTTTAATGGGTCCAGACAAATTTTAGAGCAATGTGTTTCACAGAAGCCTCTGGCATTCAGCAGTGAGCTAGGCTTTTACCATTTTAGATTTTTAAAGTGCCCTAATTCCCCTGCATTTTATGCCTAGATAAAAATTTGTGAGCCAGTATGTTATTTGCACCAGAGTTTTCAGACTTGACAGTCAGTGAATTTCCATCCCTTTTAGTGTTCATGAGCAGAAAAGGGGGAGGCTTAGAGTCTGTTAATTAGGCGTTGATTGTCTCTTCATCCAGCAAACAGTTGTGGGGGTTGGGGGTTCTGCCCCAGGGATTGAGGGAGAAGCACCATATAACAAGAGATGAGCATCATTCTAAGCAGGGGCTCTTTGGACTGGAGTATGTCCAGTAAGCACTGGGGAGCCTGTTGAAAGGCAGTCACTAGGGATGGCCCCAATCTGCCTTTCCAACAAGCAGCATGGTGTGAAGCATTCATTGCCTTAAGTTCTCTTAAGTTCAGCTGTCCATTCAAATGCATGACCATGGGTAAGCTCCTTGTAAGCTCCCTGAGCCTTAGTTTCTTCATTTCTAAACTGGGAGCACCGCCACCACCACCTTGTGGGGCTGAGGTGGAGCTTGAAGGAGATTCCTCATGTAAAGCTCCCACTAAGAGGTGCTGGGTGTGGGCTCCCCACTGCACCTCGCCCCCGTCCAAGCCAAGATCTGAGGTTGAGCATATTATGAGAGGGCCTGCAAGTTACCATAACCATCCTTTGCCTTACTGAAGCAACAGTTTTAATTTTTTCATATTTTATATATTTGTATATTTTTGTAAGAAATGAAATTTTCTTTTTTGTAGAACATGATGCCTGTAACTTCTTTATTATATTGTCATACCTCTCGGGCACTCAGGAAACATTAGGCTGCTCCTGGAGCCCAGTGGGCCCAGGGAACTGTGACATTGCCTTGAGCACTCTGTTGGAATCCCTGCTCACCCAGACCCCTGTAGCCACAACCAAATGCAGACCCTTTCCCTTACTGCTTCCTCTGGGCTGGTGCCTAAGAAATGCATGGGCTCCCCCCAGGAAGGAAGGCACAAGGTTCCTCTGCTGTCCACTCCCTGAGCCTCTTTCATTCTGTGGTTTCAGCTTGCCTCCCCTCCTTAGTAGGTAGAGCTTAGCCTGAGTATAGGCCCTTTTCTCAGGGTCACCCCCAGGATTTACCTCTGACACCTATTATAAGGCTTTTGTTATGAAAGCTTCTTCCTGTCTCAGACCCTCTCCTCTGGTTGGGGGATCCTGGTCATAGAAAGGGAACCCACCCCTCTCTCACCACCTTGCAGCACCCAAGGCCTGCCCATACCACAGCAGGAGGGGGCATCAGTGGACCCGTTGTTTGGTCTTCTAGGAGTGGTGCGCTACCCACGTGTCAGGAAGAGCAACAGCCCAGATCGGAGTGATGAGGAGGGCAGTCTGCAGAAGGAGCAGGAGAGTGCCATCGACAAGCACAACCTGGAGCGCAAGTGTGCCATGATGGAGTATACCACGTGCGTCTCCACCCTGCACCATGCTGGACCCACACACAGGGCCCTAGCATCCTCGTCCTGTAGGCCCCAGCTCCTCTCTGTCAGGCCATAAAGGCCCAAGTCCCTGTGCAAAGCCTGCAAATTGATGGCAGTGGGGCACATCTGGCCCCAGCTATACCTTAGTTAGCCAATATATTGTTAAAAAAGTCAGTTGCTAAAATTCAAAAATGGGGAATTTTACATGAAAATCTGGGGTTTTGACATGTTATTCACTTTTGCTTGTCAGATTTTTTCCAGGAAGGTAAAGGTTAGTTACAAAGAATGCCCTCATCCACTCCAGGGCTCTCTGCAGTTCCCGAGGAGAGCTCTTTTTGTGTTTATTTCCCTTTCTCAGGGGGAGCCGTGAGGTGGTGGATGAAGGCTTGATTCCTGGAGATGGGCTGGGAGCTGCTGGGCTTGACTCTAGCTTCTATGGACACCTGAAGCGCAACTGGATCTGGACCAGCTATATCATCAACAAGGCCAGAAAGGTGTTTCCCAGGGCTGGGCTGGCACACCTGGCTGGCCACCCCGGGGCTGCTGCCACTACTCGGCCTCCTCTCCCTTCCCCAGCTCACAGTTTCTGAACTGGTAAAACCAAAACTCAACAGAGTCACACATATTTGCCTCCACAGGTATTGAAGCCATGTCAGGCCCCTTAAATATCTGGCCTATTCGTCTTTCAGTGGATTCTAATTTATGCTGTGCCACAGACAGGTATTCCTTTTCAAAGAAGGAAAAAAAGTCTGCTAGACAAAGGTCAAGCAGAAGGCGTGCACATGCCATCAGAAAGGGGCAGGGCAGAGGCCCCACCCTCTCAAGCAGCCCAGCTGTCTTCTCAGCTGTAGGAGCATACCGTCCTCGGCCCCTTTCTCAGAGTCATGCACACCTCCCTGCACCCATTGCTCTGGGCTCCTGGGGATTCATGGAGTTCATCCTTCTTCTGGTGACATACTTGTCTTTCAGGAGAACACTTCTTCAGAGAATGGGCTCATGGTGAGGCTGCAGACATTCCTGTCCAAGCGCCCACTGCCTCTCAGTGCTGGAGGTACGTGTGCTGGGGCTTCACCTCAGAAACAGATGTGGGCCAGCAGGACCATGGCGCATGTAATTGACTTCTAGCCTTTGCTGAGTTTATCATGAAACATTTACCTCCTGTGATTATTTCTAGGCAGCAGCAGGTTGACTCTCTGGGGAGGGGAAGCCCGAGCAGGATCCGAGCTCTGTGTTGACAGGGAAGAGCAGTTTGAGCTTGACCGAGAGCCCACGCTGGACAGGAACCAGAGAGTGAGGGGTGGGAAAAACCAGAAGCGGAAGCGGCTGAAGAGGGACCCTGGAAAGAAGATGAAGAAGAAGAGAAAAGGTTTCGTGCTGGTCGTTTCATTTGCTGGGCCTTGTCTCTGCCCGAGCCTGCTCGGGGATGCGCAGCGTTCTCGCAGCAGCCAGCCTGCTCTCAGGCGCGGCCTCCGCTCTCTCTCCGCTTGTGTGCTCCCTCTGTGTGGTTGTTGTTTTATTTTCCAAATCCAGCTGGCAGACTGAGAGATCCTTGAACTTCCTAAATGGTTTCCCTCTGCTTTCTCTGTCTTTGTAGTTTAGAGAGCCTTTTAGCTGAAAAGCTTAATTTAAAACTCAAATTTCTCTCAGTTCAGTCTCAACTGAAAAAAACCTTAGCAAAATCATTAGCAAAACTCCACATCACAACTAGCCCAAATCCTATTATTCTTTTGGTTTGGCTTTTAATACCAGCATTTATGTTAATCAGGCCAGGGTGCAAAGTTAGGTTGTATGTTTAAATTACAGGTAAGGTGAGTCATTTAAGTGTGCAGAATCCCTTCAGATCCCATGAGCCCCTGGAGCGCGAGCCTTTGAGATTGCCAACTTGGGTTCTTCATCTGGGCTGTATTTATGGAGAAGGAGAAGGAGGGCAGTGAGGAGGCCAGTGTCTATTCTATAGACCACTTTTGTACCATCTAAGTGGTCTATTTGTTTTGACAACAGTCAGATAGCTATAGCTCTTTGAGGTGAAAACAATGTTTAAACAGGAGCCTGTTTCTCCGGTGATTCAGTTGGCCGATGTTTGTAACAGATAGCCTTGCATCAGTTGAAATGGCCACTCAGTTTAGCCTCCCCAGGTATATGTAAGACTGATTTGGCTCACAAAGACCTGAATTCATTACAAGGCAAAATACGGTGGTGGTGTGGCTTTGAGTCCAGATATTCTTGTCCCACTTCTCCTTTGGCCTTTATTTGGAATAGACTCACTAAACAGTCTTTTGGAATTGGCAGTAGCATTTGCTGTTTACCAGGCGAGACTGTCATCATTATCTCACTAGCGGGAGGAGATTTTGAAAACCCTCATGGTGAGGAGTTTGTGGTTCATATTCTCTCTCTGCTACTACTAGGCTGTGTAACTTTGGGCAGGTTGCTGTATCTTGCTGTGTTTCAGCTTCAGTTACAAGATGGAGATAATAACTGTATCCTTCTCACAGGGTTGTTGCAAAATGTTATTTTAATTTTAAGTTAATATATGTGAAAAGCTTAAAGCAGTGCCTGGCACATAGTAAATATTTCATAATGTTAGCAACTATTGTTATTTTGGTAGTAGCTACTTTGTGATAGCTGCTGCACTAAGTGTTTTATACTTAAGTGTTGTTCAGCCCTCAAAGCAGCCCTGCAGGATGGGCCTTGTCCCCACCGTGCACCTGAGTTTGCACAACATCTCCACAGTCACAGAGCAGTGGAATGGTAGGGGCCCGCTCCTTCAGTGAGCGTGCTGCCTAAGCGTCTCCCTGAGCCGGCCCCCTAAGCTTCTGTGCGAGGCAGCTTCACGGGGCTTGATGCCACAGTGGAAAGGACTGGAGATGGGCAGAGCCCTGCTCGTCACCATGAAATGTGACCAAAGAGAAGTGATGGAAGGGATAAAAAAGAAATCTGTCAGGCAGGGCTGAGTCTTTGGTGGTTAGTTTATATGGCTTCTGACACAATAAGATGTTGATAACTGATAGCCTGGTGTCACATCTTACTGGCAGGGTAGGGACCCTTCCTCTCTGCAGAGACAGCTCCAAACCAGTTGTTAGAGGCTCCCTCCCTTCTCCCTGTGGTGTTCCTAGAAGAGCTCCCAGAAGAAAAAAGCAAACGGCTGCGTTACCACGATGAAGCTGACCAGAGCGCCCTGCAGAGGATGACCCGGCTGCGCGTCACATGGTCCATGCAGGAAGACGGGCTGCTCATGCTCTGCCGAATTGCCAGCAATGTCCTCAACACCAAGGTATTCAGCCCTGCTCCCCTTCTCCTTCCCAGCCCGTGGCCAGCTGGTTTGCTGGGCCCTCTTGTTGGAAGCTTCCTTTCCTGTCTGACCTGCCCAGAGCCTCATCTCATCTATTCTGCTTGGCCACTGGGAAAGGCATTTCCCAGAATCCTACAAATTAATACCACTCCCTTTTTGCACGTTCTTTGCAGCCTTCATCAAACACACATAAACCTCTACCTAGCTGCAGACAGAACAGCTCGGAGCTTGTTCTCTCCTCACCAGGAATCTAACCCTTTGCTGCTGCCCTCCTCCCACTCTCATCTGCCTGAAAAACTCCTATTTATTTTTCATCAACTGCTTAGCATCTCAGGAAGGGCTTCATTAATCCTGCCAAATGGAAGAAATTACTGTTCTCGCTGTGTCCCTTGCACATACACTTTTCACGCTGTGTCTGTTGCTTCTGGCACCACTTGGCCCACTGGAGTGGCTGCTCCTAGAGGCAAAGAGCCTTATTCATTTTCTAGCTGCAGCCCCTAGCATGGAGCCTACTTACCCAGCAGTCAGTCAGTCAGTCAGTGTTTGCTGAGTGAGTGTGGAGGGGGCTGGTGGCTCTGGCCTGGCTCTCCACCTACCCTGTGGTTCACTCCCAACCTTCCGTGTCACAGTTCCCCACACTTGCATGGCCTCCTGGCCTGTGTCCCTGAATCCCTGGCAAGTGGGGAGATACTTGCTTGCTGTTAAGCAAACTCTTCCTCTTTCCTCTGATATCACTGCCTCCTGGAAGGTTCCATAGCCTGAGGCAGAGTTCATACTCCCCCACATTCCCTAGAACAGCCACACTGACTCCTAGTCTGTCAGTTCTGCCCAATTTGTACTGTTCTGATCTTCTGAGTTTGCAACAGGCATGCGGAGAGCGGTCCAGGGCAGATGCCCACTCAAGCTGGCTCACAGAAGCCAGCAGATGAGCTCTGCCATCATCTAGTCCAGGGCCCCTTCCGGACAGTAAGACCACCAGGGCACGAGCCCCATTCATGCATCCTGCTCTCAACCATGCCAGCCAACAGGTCCTGTGCCCAGAATGCTCTTTGCCTGCAGACTCAGATCCCTTTTCTTGACCAGTTTTCCCAGTTTTCCCAGTTTTCCCTTAGTTGCCTCCTAATTTCCAACCCAGTTCCCCTCCAAGGGGGACTCGTGTTGCTGCCCCTAATAGTGCTTTTGCTTCTGCAGTGACTTTTGCATCGCAACTCTGGTGCTCAGTGCAGCTGATGGGGCAGGAGAGGCCTGCACATTCCAGGTTGGTGGGCTTTCAGCCCACTTGGTGGCACTTCGCCACATCCCTGGAGGCCCAAAGGAAATAACCTTGTCATCAAGTCCCTTCCTTATCTCGGCTCTGCCCTCCTGCCTGTACTGACTAAGACGGCCTCCTGATCTGCTAATCCGGTGTGTTCTCTGTCCCTTAATGCAACATACAAGCCTAACACACAGAATGCTCCTGAGCATACATGTGTCCTTGAACCTTTAAACCGTCTAACATATTTATGTCCTCATAACCTCCCCTACAACATACTACCTTCCAGACAGTATTACTCAACACCCTCCAAGCCTCTCTATCACTTGCCAAAAGACATCCTTTTTCCACTAGGCATTGAGGATTTGTTGTCATCTCTGCCAAGCACCTCGCTCAGTGCCCAGTAAATATGACTGAGTAAATGTGTTAGGTGACAGACCACAGAGCAAAGAGGCAGCACAGAACTTACCACCCCCTCACCCCAACTCCATCCTTTATGCTAATGACCCATAGCATGGGCTCTGATGATACTGATTTTCTGTCTTGCCTTGTGTTTGATCCAGGTGAAGGGCCCATTTGTCCCCTGGCAGGTTGTGCGGGACATTTTGCACGCTACATTTGAAGAGTCTTTGGATAAAACATCTCATTCAGTTGGACGAAGAGCTCGCTACATAGTCAAAAATCCACAAGCCTATCTGAACTATAAGTAAGCCTTGTTTGACCTTTCGTATCTCCAGGACTAGAGTATTCCAAGGCTTTGTGTTCATTCTTTATTCTTCCATCCCATTTGCTTAAGAGTCTGGTGAAAAGTCCAGATAGAGCTCCTGAGTTGTCCGCTAGCACAACAATACTCTGTCCAGCTGCTGGAGCTTGTTAGTGAGGTCACCTTGGGTGTTTTGAGAGCTGGGTATGATTCTGGGCACTTTCATATGTAAGGTGTTATTCAGACTTCAGGACAGCCTTGTGAAGTAGCTGTTATTCTTTCTAATGAAGAAATGGAGACTAAATAACATCAGCAGCATGTGTGAGAGCAGGGGCCTGTGCTGAGTTTCACTACTGTTTTTAGCACTCCAGGGCAGCTGTTGATGTTTCTGCACTGGTGACCCAGCATGTAGCTCCCTCCAGAAAGAAGCTAGACAAGACCAGGCATCCTTCACCAAATGTGCCCAGCCAGTTTCTCAGCAGAGTCACATGTTCCATCAGTGTTGCCTCTGTGGCCTGGTATGTGTAGGGGTGGCAGCAGGCTGGGAGCCCCACAGATTCCTCTGTGTGGGTGGCTGTCGTCAGTGCAGCTCCCCCTCATCTCCTCCTCGCAGGGCCCTGGCATAAAGCCATCACTTGCCTCATCAGGCTCCTCCTTCAACTCCCTCCTCAGGAAGGGGCTTGAGTGGGGAGACTGGGCACACCCAGTGGTGCGGGAGATGTCCGGGTGCTGTAGCCAGCACAGGAGTGGGGCCAGGTGGAGACCTGTAGCAGGGCTGGGAAGAGCCGCTTCTACCAACCGGTTACTCGGGCCATGGGTCAGCAGGAGAGGTTGGCTTTGGGTTGATTCTGAGCCATGGGCTGCCTGCAGTCAGCCCGACTGTGGAGAGAAATGAGCCCTGCTCTGGACTGTGGAGGAAGTGCAACTCTAGTCAGGGCTTCTCATCCTCTGTGCTACAGACATTTAAGGCCAGATAATTCTTTGTTTGGGGCTTTAGGATGTTTAGCAGCTTCCCTGGCCTCTTATGCAGTAGATGCCAGTAGCACACCACCCCCCACCACGTGACAACTAAAAATGTCTCTGGATGTCCTCATNCTGAGGGTCCCAGCAGGCCCCTTCAAGTTAGGGTTCTGATAATTATTCACCAGGTTTCTGCTTGTCAGGTTATAAAGACAAAGTTTTCATTAATTTAGCCACCTGTGAGCCTTCTAGGTAAAGCACAGGGCAAATGCAATGTGGGCTGGTAGATTTTATTACTTGATTTCAAGGTTCTTTCAAGGTGAAATCTGCTGATTAAGGCTGCAAGTATTGGTTTTTCTACATTGCTACTTTTCTTTCTAAATCCAACCCCCAGTGTAAGATCAATGCTCCAATACCCTCAAGGGGTATTAGAAAGGGGGTCCTGGATCTCATGCAGTGCAGGCCCAAGGCCAGGCCTCCAGGACTACCAGGTAAAACAGGAGAGAATAAGCGAGTTGCATCCTTATGCCAGATACAGACCCCTGATGACCGCTGAGTGTGATTGGAACCCCTGTTTTCCAGACGCTACATTTTTTCCGTAGTGGAGAACCTTCAGAGGCTGTGCTACATGGGGCTGCTACAGTTTGGTCCCACGGAAAAGTTTCAGGATAAAGATCAGGTAAAATTCTTTAAGCCCAAATGAAGGGTGTCCTGACTGTTAAGCGCAGTTTCCAGATAGCTAACCTGACGTTGATCTGAGGTTCTCTTCTCACCCTGTCCAATGTCTCTCTTACAGGTCTTTATTTTCTTGAAGAAGAATGCAGTCATCGTTGACACCACCATCTGTGACCCACATTACAACCTCGCCCACAGCAGCCGGCCCTTCGAAAGGCGTCTTTATGTCCTGAACTCAATGCAGGATGTGGAAAACTATTGGTTTGATCTGCAGTGTGTCTGCCTCAATACGCCTTTAGGTACTGTCTTGCCTGGACCTCATCTTCTTCCCTCCTTTCTGTGGGATAACTGGCATTTAGAGCCAGAATAGACTAGAGATCTGGAGGTTTTCAGACTGCTCCCCAGAGGCCTAGTGTCTTTGGAGCACCAATCTCCATGCCTCAGTTAACCAAGCAGCTCCACTTTGTCTTCAGTCATTTGTTCATTCAGTGGTGTTTATTGGACACTTTGTGTATGCCATTTCCTGTGCCCGGCCACGAGTGATGACACACACCCTACCCTGCCTTCATGAGATTCACATTCTCATGAAGTCACACATACACACACCCAGACAGGTGTGGTGAGGGAAAACACGATGTGCTGAGGGTATTATAATGGCGTGGTCAGGAGCAGCCATTCTGAGGAGACATGTGAGCTGGGCTCTAGCAGCTGAGGTGGAGCCAGCTGTGCCCAGGGCCACGGAAAAGCATTCCAGGCAGTGCCAACAGCAAGTGCAAAGGCCCCAAGTAGGGTGGGAGAAACAGAAGAGGAGGCCAAGACTAGAGACATAGGGAAGAGGCAGACTGGGAGCCTTACAGGACATGGTAAAGATTTGGGGTTTGTTCTAAGAGTAGCAGGAAGCCATTGGGTGGTTGTGAGCAAGGAGTAGCAAGGTGTCTTAGGGTTTCCAAAGCTTGCCCAGGCTGCGTGTGTGGAGAGTGGCCCGAAGGGCCCAAGAGGAGAAGCAGGGAGGCAGATAGGGGCTGTGACCCATGCCCAGGGGAGCTGTCTGCTGGCCATAGTGGAGAAGGGAGTGGGTGGGGAGGCATAGAAGAACTGACTAGACTGGCTGATGGGTTGGATGATCTGGGCCTCTGCTCAAATCGTTTTCTGTCCCTGGAATGTCCCCTGGCCCACATTCACCTTGCAGATGGCCACTCCTGCTTCCAGTGTCAACTCTTTTTGAGAAAGCCATTCCAGAATCTTTATTGTCATCTGATTTCATTCTGTCAATTCCTTGAGCACAGGAAATTTGGCTTCTATCCCCAAAGTGCCTGATATACCATAGATATCCCATAAACATTTATTGAATGGATGAAGGGTTTGTGGAATGCTGTAGACTAGCATACTGCCCCCTAAGTCAATTTCCATCTGGTCTTTTCTCGTCACATCTACCGGGAGAAAAAGGATGCTACATTCAGTTTGCACCTGGGAGAGGAATCCTGTTCTCTTCCTACTGTCAGAGAGCTGGAAGATCATGTTACACTTGGATTTTTGCAAAGCAAGAGTCGTACGTTTATTCAGTAGAATTGTTTAATGCCAGCAGAATAATGAGCACTTGTATTTAGAACCTTTAATGGGTCCAGACAAATTTTAGAGCAATGTGTTTCACAGAAGCCTCTGGCATTCAGCAGTGAGCTAGGCTTTTACCATTTTAGATTTTTAAAGTGCCCTAATTCCCCTGCATTTTATGCCTAGATAAAAATTTGTGAGCCAGTATGTTATTTGCACCAGAGTTTTCAGACTTGACAGTCAGTGAATTTCCATCCCTTTTAGTGTTCATGAGCAGAAAAGGGGGAGGCTTAGAGTCTGTTAATTAGGCGTTGATTGTCTCTTCATCCAGCAAACAGTTGTGGGGGTTGGGGGTTCTGCCCCAGGGATTGAGGGAGAAGCACCATATAACAAGAGATGAGCATCATTCTAAGCAGGGGCTCTTTGGACTGGAGTATGTCCAGTAAGCACTGGGGAGCCTGTTGAAAGGCAGTCACTAGGGATGGCCCCAATCTGCCTTTCCAACAAGCAGCATGGTGTGAAGCATTCATTGCCTTAAGTTCTCTTAAGTTCAGCTGTCCATTCAAATGCATGACCATGGGTAAGCTCCTTGTAAGCTCCCTGAGCCTTAGTTTCTTCATTTCTAAACTGGGAGCACCGCCACCACCACCTTGTGGGGCTGAGGTGGAGCTTGAAGGAGATTCCTCATGTAAAGCTCCCACTAAGAGGTGCTGGGTGTGGGCTCCCCACTGCACCTCGCCCCCGTCCAAGCCAAGATCTGAGGTTGAGCATATTATGAGAGGGCCTGCAAGTTACCATAACCATCCTTTGCCTTACTGAAGCAACAGTTTTAATTTTTTCATATTTTATATATTTGTATATTTTTGTAAGAAATGAAATTTTCTTTTTTGTAGAACATGATGCCTGTAACTTCTTTATTATATTGTCATACCTCTCGGGCACTCAGGAAACATTAGGCTGCTCCTGGAGCCCAGTGGGCCCAGGGAACTGTGACATTGCCTTGAGCACTCTGTTGGAATCCCTGCTCACCCAGACCCCTGTAGCCACAACCAAATGCAGACCCTTTCCCTTACTGCTTCCTCTGGGCTGGTGCCTAAGAAATGCATGGGCTCCCCCCAGGAAGGAAGGCACAAGGTTCCTCTGCTGTCCACTCCCTGAGCCTCTTTCATTCTGTGGTTTCAGCTTGCCTCCCCTCCTTAGTAGGTAGAGCTTAGCCTGAGTATAGGCCCTTTTCTCAGGGTCACCCCCAGGATTTACCTCTGACACCTATTATAAGGCTTTTGTTATGAAAGCTTCTTCCTGTCTCAGACCCTCTCCTCTGGTTGGGGGATCCTGGTCATAGAAAGGGAACCCACCCCTCTCTCACCACCTTGCAGCACCCAAGGCCTGCCCATACCACAGCAGGAGGGGGCATCAGTGGACCCGTTGTTTGGTCTTCTAGGAGTGGTGCGCTACCCACGTGTCAGGAAGAGCAACAGCCCAGATCGGAGTGATGAGGAGGGCAGTCTGCAGAAGGAGCAGGAGAGTGCCATCGACAAGCACAACCTGGAGCGCAAGTGTGCCATGATGGAGTATACCACGTGCGTCTCCACCCTGCACCATGCTGGACCCACACACAGGGCCCTAGCATCCTCGTCCTGTAGGCCCCAGCTCCTCTCTGTCAGGCCATAAAGGCCCAAGTCCCTGTGCAAAGCCTGCAAATTGATGGCAGTGGGGCACATCTGGCCCCAGCTATACCTTAGTTAGCCAATATATTGTTAAAAAAGTCAGTTGCTAAAATTCAAAAATGGGGAATTTTACATGAAAATCTGGGGTTT